ATTAGCATGAGTGCTATCATATGGTCACTGATTGGCACCAGATAAAGTGAAATGCATCAACACTCACACACTTCTAGTAACAAACCAGGAAAAATCACACCTGTATAGAGCTTCCTAAGCTATCTCCTAAAGGTGTTTAAGGACAAACGAAATTATAAACATATTAATAGAAAATCTGGAGCAAGGAAATTCTACAAACTGACATTCCCCTCTCTTCATTTGAAGCAGGGGAGAGTAGTTTTGAAGAGGAATGGTCCAAATGACAATGGTGATATGGCTGTGAATGAGTTAAGGTTGTAATTAGGAACTAGAATACTGACAATGAAACCAGTCTTATCAACATAAAGCTACATACTAAATCAGTCTAACATTTAGTAGTGATAACTTCACCAATTAATGATACAGTATGATCCAATAATTAAATTCCACTTAAGATATATCAATAAAGAGCTACAGGTAAGTGAAATACTGTATGGAAATAAAATGATGGTGGGTCCAAAATTCAGGGCCCACAACTTTGCTAAATGTGGAAGAAGATTGAATACTGAAAAATTTAAGTAAGCTAGGGTGTCACCAACATCAAAAACATAATTATTATACAAAAAAAGAAAGTTGGTGAGTTCAATAATTAGGGCTATAACAATTTTGGCGATGTTGCATACTCAACATGAATCGCAGCAAAACTGACAATCAGATTAAAGCACCAGCTAAATTTGTTTAAGATCCAATAAGCAAAGTCATTCTTTTGCTGAAATGAGAGTGGATGGATCAGACAATTAGAGACCTGAACTCCGTTAACTAACACAATGCTAACAACTTAAGTCAACAAAAATTTAATCAATATCAGGATGTATACCAAATCTCGTTAAAATCTTATTAAAAATTAAGTGAGTTATATTTCAGAAATTAAAATGAATGGGTTCAATAAACATGGGCTAAAACTCTATGTTCTGATACAGATATTAGTAAGCAAACTCATCCAAGGCACTTTCAATATCAAGGTGTCTACCAAATTTAATACAAAACAAATTACATGTATAAATGAAGAAATTGTTGTGCAAAAATAATCAAGGGCCATAACTCTGCTAAACGATGATGTAAAATGCAAGCAACCAAACCCAAACAAGACCTGAGCAAGCTGGCTAAATTTTATTATTTATTTTTAAAATACAGAGGTTTACTATTTGGAAATGAAAGTGGGTAGGTCAGATGTTCAAGGGCTATAACTCTGCCATACAATGCTGAAGACTTACAAGGGAACATGGACAAAGTCTTATGGGTATCAAAGCTGCATAAGAAATCTGGTTGAAATCCAATAATGATAAAAGGTAATTACTGATATTTATACAAAAAGTGGGGACACAAAAAAAATTATGCAAGAATGATTGGCAAAATTCTAAATATCAAAAAAATGGCAAGACTACTCAAACATTTTATTAACTCCTGTTAATTTATTGCCTGAAATTATCTTCTTTTCTATACAACTTGTTTTGATGTTTGATAATTATAAACATACTTAGATAATTCAATTTTGCAAAGTCACATGACTGTATATTTAATACATTAAATCTTGTTTATCACTGGTAATCACTTAGTGTAAAATTACGCTAAAATAACTCATACAAAAATATCATGGATGGTTTGAAGAATTTACTTATCTTTGTACCAGTAAATATGAAGTCAAAATGTAACCAGTCTAACTCATCAGAAAGATCTAGCTTCCATTGAGCTAGAAATGTACACAATGATTCAGTTGATGATAAACAGCTGTACAATTGCTATTTGCAAATCCAGACAAGGCTGAATGGGCTCAAATTTGTAGCAGACTTTCTCATGAGTAAATGAGTATAAAATTATTGCTGAAAGCCAGGAATTATGATGAAAATGTGCTCTTAGTAAACCAATACACAGACTATGCCAAGAATTTACAGCAATTGTCAGACAACATCCTCAGTTGAAACCTATTACAGTCTGACAATGATGAACAAATTATACAACTGATGCAAAAGCACAACACTCTTGACTTTGTAACACCTCTGTTCCTTCAATTAAGGGATTCAGCCAGTAGACCCACAAAACTGTCAGAATGTTTTGCAAGTTATTATTCCAACAGCCATTATGTTGGTAACCAACAGAAAATGGTTACCACTCATACAAAATTAAATTATGTCACACAATTTCAAAATGCTACAAGGCTGCAGAAAGGAAATAAACTAGATTTGTTTCTTTTAAAACATCCAATGCAGATGTTAAAACCCAAAAATTCATACATTTTGATAAAATTAGAACCATTGCTATAATGGTGCAAAAATCTAGACAGGTTACGTACAAATGCATACAAACCTTCATGCCATTTTAAATGGTTACCTAAAGTGGTATTTTCTTAATCAAGCAGGAAGATTTTCTCCCCAAATTCAAAAAATTAAAAAATGTACATAAACTGAAAAAGCTGTGTAATAACCTGAAAATTATACGCAATCATCTACATATGTATACAAATAATCCTACAAATACATCATCTGTTCCTACAAAATGTCATCTGTCATGTGGGTTTTACTAATTTGTTCTAATTGTTAAAAATTGACTCAGTCCAAATAGGTTCAAAAATGTATAAATAATTAAGAGTCTAATGAGATGGCCTAAATTATACACAAATATGTTCACAAAATTTAATTTGATTATGAGATTTATATGCAAATATGCCAACAAAATTTAATTTGTTTATGAGAATTATACACAAATATGCCTACAAAATTGGATTTGTTTATGAGAATTATACACAAATATGCCTACAAAATTTGATTTGTTTATGAGAATTATACACAAATATGCCAACAAAATTTATGAGAATTATTCACAAATATGCCAACAAAATTTAATTTGTTTATGAGAATTATAAACAAATATGCCAACAAAATTTCATTTGTTAATGAGAATTATACACAAATATGCCTACAAAATTTTATTTGTTTACCAGAAGTCACAGTAACTTTATAGAGCAGCAGATGCTAATCCTAGGGTTGCAGGTTAGATACAAGCCCTGGTTGGCTGCCTCAATGAGTGCTGGGAAAGGCTTTCAGCTCCTATTTCCTTCACATGATATAGCCAATAAACTGTGTTAAAAGTGCTCCTAAAAATGAAGGAAAAACAATCTGCCTACCTTAGGTGTTTTTTGTATAATAGAGCAAACAGGACTTTTCTCACAATAAAGTCTCAGTTTAGAAAGTTCATAAATATTTAACAAGTTTAACATATAAAAAGTTCATTTTTTTTACTTTAATTGGTTTTGTGTAATTGTTTAAAAATGTTTTGTCAAAAACTTCCAACTTTAACAAGTTCAAGAATATGTAAGAAATTGAAAATTGCTGTAACGGTTTGAATATCTAATCAAATCATCTACTTTTGAACATAAAACAATGTATAAAATTTATTTCCATTGCTTGAATGAGTTTTTTCTTTATTCAAATCTGAAATAGATACTTTTTGCTATCATAGTGAAGTTTAGACAAAAGTCACCATTTGCTCAGAACAATTTGTAGGAATTAGCAGATCTATTTCTTCTCTTTATTAATTTTTCAGGAATTATGATTTCAATATCTTTAGAAACTTGATAACCAAAATAGTTTTTTTATTATGTTTTGAGAAGACATGTTTACAAGCAGGGACTGAAAATTCCTTCAGTCCAAAGTCAAGGACCCATTATTTCTGGCTTTTGAACCTAGCTATTTTCACCAACAAAAATATCAAATAACCTTAATAGGAATACTTAACCATGTAAATGAAAATATAGGGCAAAAATTAGAAATAAAATAATGGAGTCTAAAATGAAAACATATTTACCCTCATAACCAAGTTCTACACTGAATAAAATGTAATTTATAACATGCTTCATATGACTTCAATGTGTGATAGACATGAATAAATATGATTCAAAGGTCTGATGCCCTGAAACTAAGAAAATAAATTACAGCTTTTTTACATGACCAGTACGGCAAAATATGGCCTTTGACCTTGAAAAAATAATTGAACTTTTCTCAGATACTGTCAAGATATATGCAAAAGCTAAGTTTGGTTTATTCTGTAATTTAAAAAAATAAACCATCTGCCCAGTATAATTGAGGGTCCTCTTAAAAAATAACCATAAAGTAGATTTGATAAAAATATATCCATTCATACTTTTTATCATTCTTTCAAACCATCACATATACAAACAAGAGGCCAAAAATGGGCCTGAGATCACTCATCTTAGCAACTAACAACTGCACTCTTGTATACTGATAAACAAAATGAAATCCAGACTAGTCACAACATTCATGAAATCTAGAATTTGTGCTTGTTTTCATTTTTAAAAATTGTTTTTTGGTCAGAAAATTTGTTGGATAGGAGTTTGGAAAATCTGCATGTTCATATATTTTGAGGCTAATGAAAGTAATTAAAATTGGAGGTGGTTCAGGAGAAAAAAAATATTGGCTTGATTTTTTTAATGTTTTTATCAAAGGACACAAATGTCAAAATATAATAAAAAATTATGGGTGACTAATAACATTTTATGTTTTAAATTACATACAATAACACACTTAAATGTGACAATGCAAAAACAAGACAATTCTGCCATTGTGATACTGCAAAGCCACTTTAAGATGTTTAATTTTTTGTCATTTGGACTCTGTGGTTGCTGATGAGAATTAATGGAAATATCTGTTACAAATGTGTAATGACCAAAATAAAAGTTTGTTCCAACAAACTAATGACATTTAAGAATGTGTGTTTGTGTGTTTTGGATTTTTAATGTAACTTTAAAAAATTTTCAGTCACATTGCAAGGAAATCTGTAGTGTGGCAGTTTACAGTATTGTCTTGCACTGTGGCATCATGCCACAGCCATGTAGCATGATGTCCACTTAGTCACATTATCCTGACACCAGGTCAAACACTAACCTCATAAAACTGAGCACCAAGCAAGGCTGCTGCTGCTGGTGCCATTTTTATAAGTCTTTGGTATGACTCAGCCAGGGTTCAAACTCACAACCTCCTGCATCCAAGGCAGATGCTCTAACCACTAAGCCACTGGAGTGGTGACATTAAAGAACAGTACATTCACACAGAGTAGAAATTTTTTCATATAATTCAAAATATTGTTAGGCTTTTGGATTTCAGGTTATTTATCATCCAAAAGTTTTTATTGTGATCTTCATTATATACTCGCTTCCAAGTCAGGTCCAACTGTAAACAACATATACAATGATCTGCCATAAGGTAATGTGCCAGCATATCGTTGTCTATGTTGTTTGTATTACTGATTACTCCTAACAAACTGCATAGATGCAGAACAGCTTGTGAATTATGCAATGACAGATCTAAGTCCATGCAGTTTACAGTTGGACCCAGATTATAAGCAAATATACATGGTAATTTACCAACAATAATAGTTGTTAAATAGCTGTAGCAAATATACATGGTAATTTATAAATAATGATAGTTGTTAAATAGCTGTAGCAAATATATTTGAACCCAAAGCCTAAATAATGATTGATGAATTGGATAATCCATATCCTGCCTTCATGTATCCTTTAATCTGCAGATGCAAGTTTTCCCACTGTTAGTTACCAGATTTTCTCATATTTAAACAATGACTAATTGAAACCTGATTGAAGAAATATTTTTGTATTATATCTAAACACATAAAACATTTGACCTTACACTTGGTCAGATACTGAGTCAAAGCAGCAGAATAAAGTGATTTAATATATATATATATATATATATATATATATATATATATATATATATATATATATATATATATATATATATATCGCTTCATAAAGGGCATATGCAATAATATTCAAGGTTAATTCAGTCCACTTCTGATACTGTAAAAATTATTTCATGTAATTTTATTTACCAATTAAATCACTGCACTCATGTGCTCCATTCCTCTCTTTCTCTTTTACACATAAAAAATAAGATTGTTTACAAATATGAGAACATTATTTTTCTGACATGAATAAATGACAAATTTTATTCAGATCTACCCACAAAACAACAAACTACAAGCAGTATGTAAGCAGATTGTTTTGATTCAATACTGTTTCAACCTATCCCAGCTGAGACAACAAATGGAATTTGACCCATTTCACAGAAAAATATAAAAAATACTATTTAATAAACATGTAATGCTCTGATAAAATTTAAAGCCAAAATATTTATACCTTCTGTTGATTGGAGAAGTGCCAAACATAGCAGGAGGGAAAAACCAACGTTGTGTTAAAAATCAAAACAATGTGCAGATGTCAAAACGAAGCCAAACCAGGTAGGTAAAATTGAAAAACCTTTGACCTCTTCTTTAAAGTTTCCTTTCACTTTCTCTTCAAGGAAGATTAGTCAGTTTTAACTCACGCAGCTTTGGAATTTTTCAAGGCAGGCATTGAACCCTAAACAAATCTTAACTGATTAAAGTGCACTTTCTGATAGCCTGTTATTAATGAAACTAAATTACCCATAAAAACATCAAATTGTAGATTATCTGATTTGACTAAAAATCAACCTCTGTTCTACCGGATAATTATTAGGATTTTAAGACGGAATGAATTAAGATTTTAATTCTAAAATTAAGATTTTAGAATGTTATGCATGAGAGTACTCCAGTACAAACTGTATATGAACAACACTACACCTATTATAACCTTCAAAAAACATGTGATAGTGCATTAAATTATTTACATATTTGCTTGTTCATTGGTTTATAGGCCATATGATGATGAAGATTTGTGCCTTTCCAATTGATACAGAGAGGCAGCCAATCCAGGATGGCCTGGGTGTGTATTGAACCATGGACCCTTGGATTATTAGCCTGATGCTTTACCATCTGAGCTATTATGGCTCCATCTAATGATAAAATTTTATTAGGCATCAATACATCAAGCTAAGGTCTATTAAGAGTGCAGGAATTCTTGTAACAGTTTAAGTTGACCTGTTTGGTACATCTTCTAGTGCAACATATCGAAAGTCTCACGGTATTATCTGTATGACTTATTAATGCACTAAATCATACAGCAAATTCCAATCTGAAATACAGTCTCTGAGGGGGTCTGGGATTTTATTTCAAGAGGGTTAAACTTTCTGTCTTTTACTCAAGATAATGTATTTTTTTTTCATCTAATATTATGAATAGTTTGTTGTTTTTGTTCTATAAATCTGGACATGAATATTTGAGAGCTAGAAACTTTTTTGAAACAAATCCCTGGCTCCCTCCCCATTAATGGTAGATCCCTTAGTGGTGATTTTACTGTCACAGATTGTGTGATACTTTGCCAACCTGTAAAATGAACACATTTTCAATGCATAAATCTGTAACCATTACCATACTAAACTCTTAAACCTATTCTCACACATTCAGAGAACTTTATGCTGACAATATATTTGTCAACAATTTACCACAGCTCTGGTGGCATAGTGGTTAGAGTGTCCACCTCCATTGCTGGAGGTTGCAAGTTCAAATCCCAGCTGAATCATACCAAAGATTTATAAAAATGGTACTAATAGTTGCTTTTCTAGGCATTCAGCATTAAAAGGTTAGTGTTTGGACTGGTCGGCCTCATAGGATAATGAGACTGGGTGGGACATGATGCTACATGTCTGTGGCATGATGACCCAGTGCTAAACTGTGACACCGCAGACATCATAGTGATATGACTGAAAAATTGTTAAAATTATATTAAAAATCTAAATCACACACACACACACACACACACACACACACACACACACAACTTATCATTTGTACCTGCTCATAATTGAAGTCAAACTGCAAATAACAAAAGATCTTGATCTGCCATAGCATAATTCACCTGCAGATCAGAGTCTATGTTGTTTGTTCTAACAAACTTCCCAGACCCAGCACATTATGTGATAGGAGATCTAGGTATGTGCAGTTTGCAGTTGGACTCAACTTATAAAAGAGTATATAGTGTATATGGAATCCACTGCAGATAAAATTATATGTGTCCAAAAATTTCAAAAACTGATAAAACAAAAATGAAACTTTTATATAATGACATTAAATTTTTTTAAGTCATCCACATATACATGAGCATTTAACAAGGCAAAGCTCAAGGGCACTCAGTGCAAATGCTTTGAAGTTGGTAAACATTATCACAAACAATGACATCATTATAAACTGTGTGCAATAATGTTTGAACATGTGTTTGTATGTCCACATGTATTTTGCTGTGCTGATGTTTAAATAAGGTTGGATTTGAAGACAAAACTAACCTATATTGTGCACAATATATAATCAAACAATATCACTTTCACAAAAATCATGTGACAAGATGAAACGTTTTACAGCTTTAAACATATAGTATTCCTTGCTTTTTTATCAACATGAATGGCCAATGAATTGGTTTGTTTTGACAGCACTTTTAACACATTAAGGAAATGGAAGCTAATAATTAAGTGACTTTCTCAAGGACAAACCATGGCACCTTGGGCATGAACTGAACCAGTGACACTTGGATTATGTGTTCAGCACTCTAACAACTGAGCTACAGCAGCTTCCATACTTAACAATTTTAAGAGTAAAAAAAAGTGTTTAAGGTTGAAAAAGTATTGTTGCGAAGCTCAAGTCTTTCAGGAAAATAGTAAATAGAGCATGGTTTAAATTAGAATGCTGTTTTATATATTAGTTACAAAAGTACATGTCAGCAGGGCACCAAAATGAACATGGTAAAACATAATCTGTTGCTGACATGTATTTTAGTGTATTAGCTTGAGATGATCAGTCACTTAAAAAAATTAGGATAATTTGTATTTTTCCTTATATTTTTTAAAACATTTGTCAAAATGTTTTCTGCTATTACCCAGATCAAGTAAACAACGAATTAAAATATAAAATTAATTGATGGACTAACAGAGATCTGAGCAGCGGTATAAAACAGAACAACATGAGCCATAGAATGTAAAATATGACAATTTAATCAGTTGAACAAACAAAATGAAATTGAAAATGACATTTGAATGATTCTCTTTTCTTAGAAAAAGGGTTGCAAAATTTTTATGAAATTTAATTAGCTGCTCTGTTATACATATACAAAAAATTTCAAAACAGAACTGAGTGAATGATCAAATTCAAATTGCTGGCATGTCAGCATAATCTGGTTGCTACCAGTCCTTGCCAAATCACTATTGATTACAGGACCACATTGCTTTATTTCTTTTCCTTCTCTCACTGTTTTCCAACCTCTTTTAGTCATCAACCATAACTTATTTGTAGACTCTTTTCCCACCATGTGGTACAGATATGGAGCTATTTTTTCTTCAAATAAAATATAACACCCAACCTAAACATTTGTCTGATTTTTTCTTCTCAGACCAAACAATATTCCCACTATTTTTACAACAGATATCATCTTGTCATAATTCAACAGAACTAAGCTAATAAGGATCAGTTCCCAACCTGATAAACACAATCCTATTATCATAAAATTTTCTCATAGCTACCACCTGCATTCCTAACTGGAACTATAACATAACTAGACCTGTTACATAAATGTTTACATCCAATGGTGGGCTGTAAATTACTAGCTAAATGATGTTGGCTGGCACATGCCAATCTCTTAAGGAAAAGAACCCACAACTCAACTGCACAAATGAATTAATGGACTTCACATCTTTTCTTAACTACACTCATCAGTGATTTATTGACATAGATATAGTGAAGTCAATTCTAAGCCTACATGATATACAACATTTAAGACAAATACTTAAGACAAATAAATATATTCTCACAATTCGTATCAATGTAATGCATGAAAAATTCCTATGATACATTACTTCTATTACATACAAACCATTCAATCTGAACACATTCATAATAATGAAATATTGTATGACATTCTTACAATACATAAATCATATAACATTAAGACAAATGAGTGATTAACTTTTGAACTCGAGGAAAATTGATTACTTGATTTGATACAAAAGATAATCTGTGATACAACAACACAGGTCTCTATTAATCAATGTTTACAATGCAACAAACACTTTCCCTAAGTTGTAGCAGGTTCTCCCA